TTTCAGAGTGGTGAGTAGTGATGATGAATGAATGGCAAAAACACACACAACTCCTCTTTATAGCACCTTTGCACGACGTCACCTACTTTTAATTTTGTTTTTTTTTTTATATATATATATTCGGAAATAAATAAATTAATTTAAATATAAACAGCATCCCGTCGGGGGTTTGTAAGCGTTAAATTAACTATCGACGACGGTTACATGATGATCTAACAGTTATAAATTTCAATAGAATGATTTCGTAATGGGACTGTAACATATGAAAATGGAAAGGCAATGGGAAGAGAATAAAAAAGGACAAAACCCAAAACAAGAATCGCCTGCAAAAGTTTGAGATGAAATTGGAAATGGGAATTAAATGGAAAGTGAAAAGGGAGATGGGAGAGTACAGTACAAATGCCCATACCCTTCAATTTCGCCTTTTATTTAATTTTTACGAATAATAAATTAAAATTCATTGAGAGGAGAGGACATAATTTTTCCCTGGATGAGAAGCAAATGAAAAGATCGAGAGAGGCACATGCGGGCCTTATATTAGCATCTCATCATCATATATATATATATATTGAAATTAAATTAATTATTGTGTGAGACTGTGTAATCGTTAGACAAACAGATATATTATACTATGTGAACATATATACATGGAGTAGACATGGTTAAGGGCCGCCCGGCCCACTGACCCGGCACGGACCCGATCAAACACGATGACCACGAATCTCGAACCGGATCGGATTTCCGACAGGCCGTTTCAGGGTCATCCATTTAATGACCCAGCATGGCAGGTCAGGGCCGGACCGACGACTCACCTTTTCTATTTTTTTTTTTTAAATGACGAACCTGGCCGGCCCGGCCAACCGGGCTATTGACCCGACACGAGTATAGGTCTGTGCAGGGTTCGGGTCATTGTTTTGGAGCCGGCGGGTTTTGACCATGTGTAACATGGATGTGTGTGTATTAAAAGAAAACATTACAATTTGGATATTTTTCCAGATATATAAATAATTAAAACTTATTTTCAATGCGATTTTAGTTAAGTTGATAATATTATTTATTTATTGAAAAAAATATACTTGCAATCCTTATATTTTATGTTTGTAGATAATTTTTTGAAATGTTTATAATGTTTTACTTTGTTGGCTTTTAATTTTAAATCGATTTAGTGATCTATTAAATTGAGTATTT